AAGAAAAGTCTATTATTGATCCCTCTAATATATAAAGATTATTTCCTTTTTTTATTCAAAAACAATAAAATCCAGCTCTCTTTATATCATTTTCAAAATCGAAAAAAAAGCTATCTTTATCTTTCCAAACCTCCAAATATTTTTATTTAGAATCTAATAAATCTCTTCTTTTTTTGAATACATTTTCAAAACCAAAACCCAAATATTCAAAAACTAATAAAAATATTAATAAAGATAAAATTTCTATTAAATTATTTATTAAAAGATAAAGGATTATCTCTAAATTCAACAAATCTCCTTTTTCATTATTCAATTTTTATATTCATCTTAAAAAGCTATTAATAATAATATTTCGTATATTCTATATTCTAATCAATTATTTTCTTTAATAAACAAAAAGGAATATATATTTTTTGAAAAGGAAAAATATAAGAAAATTGAAATTATAAATCAAATATATAAAGGTTTTAATTAATCAATTATATAACCTTTTATAATTAAATATAAAAGAAAAATCTTTTACCTTTTCTTTTTACAAAAAAATAATCTTTTATATATATATATTTGAATTTATATAATATCAATTTCAAAACCATTATAAACTTTATTTTACCTATAAATAATATATTACAATATAATCTAATTCAGCTTTCTCTTTCAATTCCCTCTTTACAATATGTTATCAAGACATATATATCTCGACCTACCACTTTTATAATATCAATTGATAAAGATCCTATTTTAATTCTATAAGAATTCTATTTTCTTTAATGAAGTTGAAATCTATAAATATATTTATAATTTCGGAGTTAATTAAAATATTAATTTATTGATTCTTTAATTTGATTTCTATAATTAATTATTTGATTTCTATAATACTATTAAGTTCTAATAATAATGATTCAATAATTTATTTCTCAATAAAGAAATTTAGTTATTTTTATTGATATTTGTTTATATTCAATAATTGATAGAATATAATAAACAATAATTTTATTAATTTTATTTGAAAGTCTCGATAATAATTATAATTTGAGACTTCTTTATTATCTTTATCGATTCTTTGTTAAATATAACAAATCCCAATTTATAATAAGATTTCTTATATTTCTTCAATTTCTAAATTATATTTATTATATTTTTATACTTTATTGAAAAATGAAGATTTTATATTTATAATATATCTTTTAATATCATTTATCTCAATATTTTCTTTAAATATTATATAATAAATATTATTATATATTATTATATATCATTATATAAAATATTAACAAAATAGAATAATTATAGATTTTATATTTCTTAATAAAATCAAGTTTCTTTTCTTTATAATAATATTATATATATTTCTTATCTAGATAATTGATTAGATATTATAATTTATTTTTTTGAAATAAATGAAGGGATTCAATTAATTATTGATTCTTTTCAAATTCCTCAATTGATTTTTTATTTTTTGATTCGAGATCTTTTAAAATTCTTTTTATAATCGATATTATTCTTAATATTAATTTTAAAGTTTTGATTATTGATATTTAATTCTTTTAATTATTCGAGATTAAATTGAAATAGATTTTTTTCAATAATCTTATTTCCTTTAAGCTTTCTTTTAAAATTCTTATTTCTCGAAAACTTTATCTTCTATTTCCAAATTTCATTTGTTTTCTATTTCTTGTAATAAATAGTTTCTTCTTTTGAGAATAATTTCGGGATATATATCTGCTTTTTCTATAAATATAATATAAATTATTCTTTTTACATTTCTTCTTTTTATTAATATTTAGATTGTTTGATTTTATATAATATTGTTTGGTATTATTCAATTTTATTAAATTGTTGGTATTATAATACTTGTTCTAATAATAAGGTTTTTGAAACTTTTTGTTTTCTTGAATAATTCCTTTTTTTTTTATTCATTATTTATAAAATCGATTATCAATGAAAATAAAGATTTCAATTAATTCAAAAAGATTAGATAGTTTCGAAGCTTTTATTAATTCGTTTTTGATAATATCTTTCAATTCTTTATAGAATTATGATTTTAGATAATTATTATTCTATATAATACATTTAGTGTATTATTAAAATTTAATAATGTAAATTATAATTGATTTAATCTATTTGAATTATTATAATGCTTTTTCAATTATATAGTTAAGGTTTACTTCCTTTAATACTTTATCAAATTTTTATTTGAACGATTTATAATTAAGGAAAAAATAATGAATCTTAAATTTTATATTCTTATTTAATTGATTATCGATAATCTTGATCATTAGATTATTGAAAAATAATTCGATTTAATTGAATACAATTTCTCAAAAAAAGAAAATCAATTATAAGATTCTTTATATAAAAATTAAAAAAAGTTATCTGTTAAAAGTATAATAAAAATCAATTTGTATAACAAAAGTTCGATATTTGTTATAATCTTTATAAAATAAATCAAAAATGAATATCTGAATCGCTTGTTTATATTTTATAATGACAATGGCCTGAGCAGGGACTTTGATTAGATTGAATAAAAACGATTCGATAAATTACTAATTGGAAATAATTGTATTATATATAGCTTAATTGTAATAGTATTCAAAATGTAATGATCTGATTAAAATAACAGTTGCCTTAGGTTTTATATGATTAATAATTATAAATTAAGATTAATAATCATTAATTATTTATTTAAAAATGAATATATTATTAGATCAATCAGAATATAAATAAACTAATTGATAATTAAATTGAATATGAAACTTTTAAATTATAAAATTATTTTGATTATATATTAATCTTTTTTTATATATTAATTATATTAATTAGTTAGTATAATTGATATTCTTGTAATATTAGTTTTGTTAATTGATTAACAGAACTAGTATATCATATAATTGATTCTGAGGCCTTTTATATCCTAAAGTCTTTTTTTTCCTGAAACATTTGTTCTAAGAGCTCTCCCTCCGGGAATTATAACCCTAGAATACGATATTCTTTAGAATGATAATCTTATTACAATTAATTAGATAGAACATTTGTTTTATTCTACAAAGATTGTTTAGAATATTTATTTTAAGAATCCTAAGGTTCTAGATTTAGATAATCAGGATCCCCGAAAACAATAATTAAATCATATTCCTTCTATAATCAGTATATAAATCACCAATATCAATAATACTATTATAATCAAAACCATGAATTGTGACACCTAGATTTCTAATTGTAGTAATAAGAAACCCCTCTATAATCGGTGATTAAATCACCGACACTTACAATACCATTATAATCTTAGATATAAATGATTTGTAATAATAATCTAATAAAAGTTTAAGGTTTAAAAAGTTTATAATAAATTAAATATTAAATATATATTAAAGTACAGGCAGAATATTAGTTTGTTTTTAATAATTGAAAATTAAATCATTTTATTTAAAAATAATAATTATAATATGATTTAATATTACTATTTATAATAATAATAATATTTTATATTATTATTATTATTATTATTATTATTATTATTAAAGTTAAATAAATTGAATTGAATAAATAAAGATAAATTGAATAGATAAAATTAAATTGAATGATTTCAATTGAATTAAATTGAAAAAAGTTTCAAGTTAGATTTGTTTGAGGTTATAAAGTTTTTTATTAGATTTATTTATTAGAGTATTTAATGAGGTATTGTTACAAGGTAACAGTCAACCTGTCCATATGAGCTTGGGCCTCATCGAAAAGCAAGGCAATTTGTATACAAATTTGTATAATAATCACCTCATATGGTCTACATATACAAGGATACGAATCATAGGTCTATACAAATCGTAGGTCTATACGAATCGTAGGTCCATAGGATTCTACAGGATATGAAGATCTATATAAACCAGAGGGGTTTCTTATATATAGAAGCTTCATACTCAAGATCAATCATTTAGTATACTCTACTATTAGTTACAAATTGTAATCATTGATATTATTTAAAGCCCCTGCTTGACACCTAGTTATAAACCCTTCGAGGATCCAGGCCGCTTCCACGTAATCTAGATCGCATCCCTTGTAACATCTGATAAATAAAAAATTCCATGCGCTTTCATTTCATTCTATTCTCTTATAAATCAATCTGATATGAATTATAATTGAATTCTCATATCATAATAAAATTTAATAAATATATGAATATTATTAGTACATCACGTGATCATCCGATCATTGGTTCGGCTAATATTATTAAGTGATTTAATAACTTATTAAGAAATCTCACAATGATTATATTCGATTTTATTTTATTGAGTTTAAATATAATTAAGTCTTTCATTATTAATATAAATAATATTATTATTATTATAATTATTATTACTTATTATCGATTAACCTCCTTCAAGAATCCAGATCCCTCATCGTCCCCGCTGGCAAGTCTGCCTTACTATTTTGGGCGAGTGTTTATCTTCTGGGTTGCTTCGCTACTGCGGCATTTTCCATTCGCAGCTATGCCGGCGAGACGATCTTATACCGGAGGAGAGGCCATATTCTGTTGGGGTGTATAGAACCGCCGAGATCGATCAGTACCCACTTGCTATTTGTGTCTTAGGAAATCCCAAGGTGACTTTCGCTTCTCGTATCTGCAAAGGAAGCTCCTCGATTTTCAGCTATTCTCCACAATAGAGACGAGCTGGCATATCCAAAACAGTAAACCGGTCGGAAGGAAGGAAGTTCCTGAAGATGCCAGCTCCACTCCAAAGCATCTTGCTGAAGGCGCAGCGTTAAACCCCTGAGGAGCTGGTCGAGACACCCACCATGCTGCCTCGAACATGGTTTGAATGGTGGGCTGGGTTAATAATTTCGGACACGTAGGCAGTCCAAAGCCGTGGCTCCCATGAGCTCCAAAGATATTGAGGGACGAGCTTCCCTCCCTCCGTCAACTATCTTCTCCTCATCACTTCACATTTCTTCTCCATACTGCACTCTTCCATCTTCCATCATGAGCCAGACTTCATCTACGGAGCGCTGCCAACACGACTACGAATTCTTTCCTGCGGATGGATCTCCTCCGGCATATGACTCTTCGCCTGAGGACACCAACCCTCCCGCGTAATCCTACGGAACTTTTATCGGCATGTCAGATGAGATAGACGCATGGATCGCTGGTAGAATTCCCTACTGCTACCTTAACTTCTGCGAGCAGGTCTATCATCTCACGAATACGGCGAGACGACATCGAAGAAAGCTCACGCAAGTACCATCGGTAATAGAGGCGGCCAAGAATGCGTCCAGCTACCATCAGCGACTACGGACGGTAGGGCTTGCCTCACAGCCTGCCTCCATCGTCCATGACGTTGTAGCACCACCGTACCATCTTACTCAAATGGCAATAGCTCTATTTCGGAGCAAATTTGAACGAATGAGGGCGGACGCGGGAATTTTGGATGAGGTTCTGGAAAGTCTTCGGCTCAGTCTAGGAGCAGCTTTCAGAATGATTACGAGACTCGGTCTTGAAACTCGTGAAGCTGTGAAGCGACAGATCCAGAATGGGGAAAGCCATATATTCTTGGCGATAGCGAGGCTCCTGGAAGCTTACGGGTCACGCTTTGCGCCTTCTGGTACGGTTTTCCTCGCCTCGCACAAAAGGTCGCCAAAGGAGCATTGCTTCGGTACTGCACGGCTCCATTTTGAACAAATTCATGACCTGAAGGAAGTTCTAATGTTTGTCTGTTTGTTTCCGGCACAAGACCTGGATGCTTTCGCAGTGCTAGAACGGTGCCTGCGCAGAGCCTTCCCAGCCCTCAAAGAACCATTTGCGGATTCGGATGAGGAACCTGGCTTTTCCCATATCGTACAGAGATTACGCCATGTTCAGGATGAGATGCCAGGATTGATATCTTTCAACATCAGAAAATAAGGCAGTTGTGCCGTACAAGGTTAGAGAGTTTGACGGCTAGACAAGCCCGGTATCCGTGTTTGTTGTCGTTTTATGTGGCGGGTTCTACGGCTTGCCGGAGCTGCAGGGCAGACGGAGACCATGTTTGCGAATGCCTCACAGGATGGGATAGAGCGGAAAATTCATCATGTAACAGAGTTGAGTAATAAACAACTGACTGATTTGGGTCTAGCTTTTGGAGATGAGACTTGCTACATCGACTTCCCTTCATCTTAAGCGCCGCCTCTTCTTCTGTGTTCTCGTTTGGACGCCGAAGGCCCGTTTATTTTCCGAGAGCTTGACAGATCTGTCAAGATAACGCATGAGCTCACAATTGCAGGCCGGATTTTGAGCTCGCTCGTTTCTGCTCCTATGGCCAGGCAGTCCAAACTTCGCATTCAGTTTCTGCCGTTTGACGAACCATTCCATCGGCTGCGGAAACCCACTGATGCTCCGACGGAATAATCTGCTAAACGAAAACTGGAGGTTGACTCGATCCGAGGGATGACTTGTGCGGAACTTAATCAGCTTCTGAAATCGTCCACATAACTCGCAGAGGTCGTTCGGGGCTAGGAACCCAAGCGAAGATCCCTGATGAAGGAAATGTGCACCCTCGAACACAAGAGGCCCGTTGAGCTCAAAGAAGAAGGACGCTGCTTTGAAAGCCCTAGTAATACCCTCCATATCGCCTAAGTGATGGTAGATCTGATCACGGAGATATTGCATCTTGCCGACATCGTCAATCCGAAGTTCCTGACCTACAAGGGGTAAATTGAGCCGGAAGTGCCGTTTCTTTTCTTCCTCATCAAGGCCATGCCAATGGTCTTCCCAGCTAAGTTGGCCGTTGAGTGATAACGATTGCATAGAAGCTCGATAGACGCGAGCCAGGGCACCACCCTGTAGCAGGTTCCGGACGTTGGAAGCCACTGGCGATAAGAGCTTCTGCTGATATCCCGTCCTAATTGAAAGCACCAGATCGCAACCTAAATTACCTTAAATCGGCGAACTTCACGTAGGCCGGGCTGGACAGGGTTATTATATTTCAACCCGCCGTCTTGGAACGTACCAAATGACTCGAGATACTTTGGCGTAAAGTAACTAGCTCAGTCAGCACCAGTCTCCAATTGCGAAATATAACTCTTAGGTTGGAGCAGCTGTTGCACACCTCGCGCTGTCCATCTTTAGCGAGCACGACACAAGCAACCAAAGAAACTTACGCTTCCCAGAGTAGCATCTCATCTGTCGTCTTCTTGGCACGAAGATGTTTATATCCTGGGGTGTTAGTCTTGGTAGAATATGAGAGGCGTCAACTTACTTGAATCTCTGCCAGGAGGGCCGTTACCATTATAATTTGAGATCAGGCATAATGTGGCATCCGATATCGTCGTCGCCGTAACTGAAAATTTCATTCCAGATGGCCTTGATTTTGCCGAATCAAACACCCGGCCCAATCCAAATGTTTCCTTCAGAGCCTTTTCTAAAACGACTGCGTCTTACCCGCCATCTGCGAGATAGGAAGCAAAGATACGTCTGAGTATAGCACAGATTGAATACCTGCAACCGCTTTGGTGGGAAGATGATCCTCGCAAAATTAAGAAAGAAAGCGAGGCATTGCTTTGGCGTCCAGTACTTAGCAAAGAACCCAATGGTTGCAACACCACCTATTGGCTGTTAGCCTAGAACTAGGTCACGAAGCCGGCCTTACCTGAACTCGTCCCGATGCCATAATCAAAGTGCTCCTGCAGAGGATATGGCAGGTCCAGCGTCTTTTCCAGCTCTTCCATGAATGCCAAGGAATCTTACTCGACAGGTTGGCGGCAAGAGGTTGGCCTGAAAATGAATCCCCCTCTGGCAGAAAGGACAGGTGGCGAGGTCGTACCGGTACTCCGCCCCCTTCGTTGGCTCACCAAAGGCGACAAGACAATCGTCGCAAATAGCATGTCCACACTCCAGTTGGTGTTCCAAATTCCTCTGGAGACAGGTGAGGCAGATCGAGGTATGCGATAATAATGACCAATGTTGGAAGTTTCGCCGCAAGCTTCTCTGGCGAAGTGGAGCTGCTGGCTGTCCACCGTACTTCATGTGTGAGAACATAGAGATTATATGGGCCTCGATGTCGGCAGTGATCTAGTCGACATCTAACTGCTGGGAATTTGCGAAGTCATGTACACCCAGGACGCAAGATTGACGGTATAAGTTTCGGAAGACGTCTGATGGGTTGAACACTTTTTCCAATTAGTTAGATTCCACCTATGGATGCTTAAAATCAACACTTACTGTGCATGTCCGGAGAGAAGCTGTCAAAAATGACCACAGAGGCAATGAAGTCCCAAATCATACTTGCTGGAATATTGTGCTCGGAACATAAGCCCATGAAGATGCTTAGGTGATGCTGGAAGCTGTGGGAAACAGGGCATAACTCTTAAGCATAGAATAAAATCAAAGGTCTGTGGCGATGTCGCGACTGGCGCAGTACTTCATCGAAGAACTGGGTGATATGAATCATGGAGAAAAGCGTGTGGGAGTTGATTTTCTCAGCACGAATCAGATGTGTTTCGTGCTGTAGGGCCTCTGCCAGCCATTTGAAATGCTCGCGCGAGGGGGTTCAACCTAGGCCCAACACGTTGACTACATTCAACGAAGGGAATGACTCTGAGAACTTGCGATCGGATAGAACCCTCAGACGAAATTGAAGGGCTTCGGATGCGAAAATATCGCCAGGTATGCTCGTGACGACGAGAAATCGAGGACGGACAGCATCAGGAAGGCTCGACGCCGAGCCGATTGCTATCCACCCTGCTAACATGTCTACCACTCCGTCAAGGCCGCCGCAATCCTGGGCAAATATGCACAACACATCGATGAATAATGAGAATAGTCTGGCCAGGGCATGGTCAGCCAAGTGCTGCTGCTTTTTTTGGTCACCCTCGTCTGGCCAGCCCACCGGGTGATTGATCGTCTCATGGCAGGTGTCTTTGCCTCTCAACTTGGCTTGTGTGTAATCAGGGCAGCTATCCGCGATGAGAATTGGATGTTCATCGTTTTGTGTGGCCGGATAGAGACAAATGTTTGCGATGCCGTACTTTCGACAGTTTGATATGGTGTTGCCGGGATATAGAGCTCTCAATACTCGTGTTTTGAGCTGCTTTCCAAGAAAGAACAGTATCGATGGACGTTGGTTTACGGGATCTGGAAGCGAGGTCCAAATATGGTGAAGTCGATTCGTATGTTGCATTCCGACACCGTTCTCACCCTGATACACGCGGAGCCAGTATTGGTGAGCACGCAACGCCATGTTACCGACACTTGATTGAAAGGGGATCGGCTCCAATAACAGTTTGTATGCAAATCTGATTTCCATCGGCAACTTTAATCATTTTGGAGGATTATCAAGATGTATACCTGCTGGACGCGTGTGGGCAATGCGTGTGGTGGAACAAGACAGCCGAATTATGAGGATCGTAGGTGATCGATCGTGATAGTGATCTATCCAGCAATCAAGTGAGGTGGATGTGTGGGTCAGGTGGGACAAGGGGTGGTCAAATTAGGCGAGGTGGTGTTGTCAAACGCGGGCACTGGAATTAAGCGAGGTGGTAAAGGGGTCATCAACACCGGGATGCCCCATAACTGCCAACCCTCCAATCATAACGCTGGCCTAAGAACTTGGTGGCGAGTGCAGGTATTACGTGATCTCAATCAAAACACACAAGAAATTTATTCACAATAGAGTTGTTTAGAGATGATTGTAATTGTAATTTCTTCCATTTAATCAAAGAATGACCTCAGATACACCCTCTTAATCAGAGCCCAACTTGATATTGTGTACCCGGGTAATTCACCCGCTGAAGAGCGTTTGCGATCCTCCATCAAAGACCTGCCCCCGATGATTCTCTGGACCAACTGCTCCCTCCATAGCTTGAGCGCCCACATGCTTGCGGTAGCTTGCGTACATAGGAAGTGTAAGAGAGTCGGTCTCTTGAAGGTTCCGAGGAGTCTGTTGGACGGAGGCTCCTTCTGTATACGGGGGAGGAGATGTTTCTCGGGCGGAGGAAAACTTCGAAACTAGTCGGCAGCATGCACGTCGAAGTCTTGACCCGTTAATCCTTTCTTGCACCGCCTTAAACTGGTCTTCGTTGAGATAGACGATGATACACATTGCTTTATTTGTTAGATTCGATGACTGTCAAAGTTATTGGGTTCTTAACTCTTGTTGAGTTTTCCTCTCCAGGTGAACTTTGAATTTTGGGGCTTGTAGATGTGAGATTTCAACTCGACTGCGTCTACAGCCTTCAAGTACTCTCTGCAGCCAGCCAACCTACCCCTCAGTTATTAGGCGATAGTTCATACCATCTAACGTGGGTGTTTCATCCCTGGAGGCGGTCACTATTGATGCAGCAGCAAGTTGATGGGCACCACTCACGATCCATCGTCTAACTGCTTTAGGAGACCCGGAACTTTACTTCAACCGCTTGATCGACGTCGCACAATAAATCATATACTTTCTAAAAATTCTATGATATCTCAGTCCAGGATCTACGAAAATATGATGTCGCAAACTATCCAGATGACTTTGGTAAGGCACCCTAGCCCGCAAAAGCACATTTTTCACAAGTAGCAGGAAGAATCTGTCTCCATCGACAACCTTGAACAATTGCTTCTCATGCCTGCAAACGCAAAAAGTGAATGTTGCCGACGCGTACGACGTGCAGAATCGTGCCAACAACGCCGAGCAAGAATTGTCGATTGCACGTACCAAGCTCACACGAGAGATTCGCAAGAACCGGCAGCTTCAAAAACAAAACTATGAGTATATGGAAGCACTGGGGCGAGCAGTGCAGGACTGTAGCGTGATGAGGCACCACTTTGATCTCTTGTCGAGTTCGCATCTTGCCCTCTCGCAGGAATTTCAGAAGGCAAAAGTGATGGTGGAGACTTTGGAAGCTGTTATTCGGATGCTTTCTACATATTCCCTTGAAAGGTCAGGCATTTCGGATGCAATGACCAGCGGAGAACAGCCTGCAGTGGAAAAAAGGGATTGATGGCAATTTTGATATTTAGATCCAGCTATTCTAGCGAGGCTTGACAAATAGCTTCAGATATTGGAGTGAAGTCCCAAGCGCACATTGCGTTCGGGTCTGCGCCATGATCGAGAAACCATTCAGTCAGCACTCAACCCCGCACTTGCACGTAATTTTACGGATCCGGGAACTTCTCCAACCTTATGAGCTTCCGTCGAGACTATGATCAAGACCTGAAATATCCAACTATGAAAACCACAGCCTGCTGGTAATCCTAGCCTGGTTGGTCGTCCTTGAGCATCATCGCTCTCAAAGAATCTAAGTCACAGTCACGTGCACAAAGGTGTCATAACCTGTGGAGGTAGCCTAGCTCCTTTCAATAAAAGCATGCTACTGTCACTTCTTCTTCTAATAATTAACAGTATTTTGCTGGCATGGATGTATTTTATATTCCAAATGCAGAAAAAGAAACTGAAGGTAAAGATAGGACAATACTTTGCTGGCGCGTGCAGCAAAGCATATAACAACATAACAACAATCGACCACCTCGCACCATACCAACTCCTCCAAGGGATCCATAGCATAATACTATCGATATCTAAGCAGAAATCTCAAAGGCCTTGAAGACTTCTGGAATATCCGCTGTAATAGATCCGTTCTCCATAAGCTCAGTCAATTCCTCAAGGAGACCTGTGTTCATGTCCACAATGTTGTACTTCTGTCCATCAGCAAGGAACAACTGATCCGGCTTGACTGGAGTGCAAGTTTCCGATGCGGAACAGGCACCCTCTTGAATCTGCTCGCCCTCCCTCTTCCTCGCTGTGTCAAAGTTAGCCTTGGTTTTCGTAAAATTGGTAGGATCGCAGTATCCCAGATCCTCAGAGTCTCAGACAGACCCCAAGACATGTCTCCAGGTCAAGATCTTAAGATATTGCGAAATTCAGGTAGGAATTTGCACTTACAGAGAAAGCTGTAGCCTGCTCCGGTGTAAGGCCCATTGTTAAGACACTTCTCGGTGGCGCCGGATATAGTGTCGACGGTCTTGACCCGGCCACAGTTACCACCCTCGTGTCCTCTGATTTCGATGAACCAGTTGGTCGGGACAGCGTAGAAGACGAGACTACTGTAAGATCCGGAGGGGACACCGCAGCAGTTCTGCAGAGGTACGTTAGCAACTTTATGGTTCAAGGGGGTGCCGGATTTATCGAAGGAGAGGATGTTTACATTGGGATTCAAGTTTGTGCATGTATGGCCTCCACTGCGGGAATCGCAATTGCCTCTGACTCTGAGAGAGGCATCAATGGCTGAAACCGATGCTGCAAGACCGAGAAGAACGGTGAGGTTGAGGAGTTGCATATTGAAGTTGTTTTATGATTGACTCTGGAAACGGGGAGGTTTGATAGCAATTGAAGATCGATCCAATGAGCTTGAGATGATGAATGCGATGAAGAAAGAAGAGATATTGTTGCAGACTTCCTCATCTTTATACTTCTTTTCTCGGTGGGTCTCAACCTACGGGGTTCTACATCCTGAGGATTTTTCGTCCATTTTGTCTTTGTGAACAAGAGCCACGGTGATTTCGGACCCATGGAGTAAGCGGGTACAACGTCTCGGTGTCGGAAAGCAGTTGTTTGTTGAAAATTTGTCAGATCATTTATGTCGTATCATACGTCCGTTCGTACAAACTAGTATAAGAGATTTCATTACGTTATTAAGTACCCCATAATTATACGGTACGATGTGTTCTATAGGTTTCACTAATGAACGCAAGTAAGATAAACACCTGGGCATAGTACCTTACCCTATAATCACACGGTGCCGTGTATTCTATAGGTCTCGCTAGTGAACGCATGTGAGATAAGCGCTTGGCACATTATGTTACCTGGAAACAGTATATTACTTACACGGTTTTACGTAATATAGGTACCGCTAACGAATACAAGAGAGGTACGAGCCTGGGCACCGGATCTCAGCCTCCTACTTATACGGTTGCATGTATTCTATATGTCTCGCTACTCGTACCACCACAATTACAGTAAGGTAATCTTTTTCTTGACCCGTAGAGCCAAATCAAGTGATCCGGTCCTGCGCATGAAATCTCAGCTCCTCCAGGCTCCTGCCAGGACTCATTCATCATGCCAATCCCCAGTCTTCCTCGGCTTCACCGACGATCGAGAAATTGGCCTGTGATCAGATCAGCCCAGATCAGCCCAGATCCAGGTATACAGCGCATGTCGTCTTCTCCGCGGCGCAGAGTTCACCGAGATCCTTCCCTCGATAGGTAATGCCACGGCGCAGCCAGGCAGAAGCTGGCTATGTCGTCGTGAGGCATTACTTACATTGGCCAGGTCATATCGCATGAAAGGAATGCCAATGGCAGGCCTCCACTATTGCATTCACCGAGGGAGCATTGCCGTGAGGATCGTGATGGTGCGACGGCGAGAAGAGGGAGGTGAGCTGAGCTCATGTTCGTATTTCAGTCAATGCGATGCCCTCCGGGGGAATGATCGCCGTCGCGACAGTCAAGAGGATGGAATCCAGAGTGACAGATCGAGGGTTCTGGCTTCAAACTGGCCGTGCCGTCAAGGCTTTCAGCTCCGGCAGGGCCTGCGAACCAGCTGTCGTAACCCTCGATACAACTGCCGTACCGCGCCATCTTGCGCGGTCTTGCATGAACAATACCTTGCTCAGGGAAAGCATCTGGTGACATTGTATGATGGGTAGTATGCTCATGAGGAGTGCCAAACGTGGACTCCCAGGATTCGTGTTGTCGTCCTTTGGGCCATTTGAAATCGTACAGAATCGTCGATCGACTGCCATTACGGAGCAGTGTTGTGTGTGTTTTTAGTGCGACTTCTTGTGGTAGAGGAGTTGAACGAGTGCTTAACAGATCGGTAGGTGCTTGCATACGATGAAGTTGAATTCACTGACCATGGCTCACCTCCTTGGACTCACTGCTCAGCCTGGCTCACCCGCAGCTCAGGCTATAGCAGCAACGGCTCAGGTCCAAAGACGGAAATGGAAATTGCTCATGTCGAGATTCCGATATCGAACTACCTGTTGCACACTTGTTTTATCCCTTTGTGCATCGTTTTTGCAATTGGGACTTCTGTAATTAGAGCAACTCAATGCAAGATAGCACTTGTCTTCCTCTCTCTAACTTTGATCAACGGTCTGCGCTTTGTCAAATATTGTACTGGTCAAATGTGCAAAGCACCACAGGTTGGCTTACCGCACGCAGTGATGCTCTGACTTCGTCTGCGTGTAATCGGCCTTAGTAAACCGTTCTTCACAACCACAGGTCAGGAATGCCGTGGTTCCCAGATCGAGTGTGCCTTTGCTCAGAAGGCTTGCGAGTAAAGAGGTGGTGATCAAACTCATTCGAATATTGATGGTCAAAATGACCACCTCGCTTAAAATATCCACCTGAGACTAATGACACCACCACAAAACGGCTTGCAACAACTGCTGATCTCTTTCTTCATGTATTCTCGATTACAATATTCTCCGAGAAGATTGAGACGTCTCCCAAAAGACAGTAAGCAATTTCCCCGTTATTGATACAATGAGCCAACCAGTACTCCGTCATTTACGAAGGGTTCAGGCCTTTTAGGGCCGCCCATCTAATGATACTAACGAGGCTCCTCCAAGTTCGATAGATTCAGGAACTCCCCAGAAAGTTCGAAGTGTGCTTAGGGTGTTACTCAAGAATCCGTGGGATGACTATAGCTACATTCAACATCTTGGCCAGACCACATTAATCCTGCGCAAAGCATCGTCCTTCCACCTTGCCGATATTCGAGAGGTTTCTCCTTTTGAAGTTTTAGGGGACCCACCAATTCTTCCCCATATCAAGCATGCAACATCGCAACCATCGAAGAGATCTATTGTTATGATGATAGGATTTTTCTTGTCATGGAACATCTTGACGTCTCTTTCGCTCAGTTGGAATTCCAGAAATATGATCTCGAAGAGCGAGAGATAGCGACAATACTTTTCGAAGTACTGGTTACCCTCACTCACGAACGACGAAATGGCTGATAGTAGCAGGTTCTAAAAGGCGTGGCTTATGTCTCTTCGCTTAGGCTTTCTTGCAGAGACCTCTCGCAAGAAAATATCTGGTTGTCTCTTGATGGAGATATCAAACTTGGTTGGTTCATCCCATATATGACACACAAATTTTGCTTATCCATTCGTCACAGTCCTAGATCCTCAAGAGCTCAAGCATGATGGTGTATATGAGAGCCCTAAAGTCTCACAGATTCTATTGGATTTTCCAATTTTGGCTGAAATCATAGAATAAATGATGCTTTCTCGCTATCACCTCACCCAAGATGATGAGAAATGGTCTAGGGACGCGATTGAGTTCATCTCATGTACTCTACAAGGGTCGTTTGAGAGTTTGATGAATGTAAGGAGCGACTAGATGGTGCATTGCGAATATTGGCTGATCAGACTAGCATTGCTTCCTCAAGCAAGCTGTATCCCCAAGAAGGCTGATTCCGCGCATCCGTTTTGCCTATGAAGCCGAGCGTGGGTCTTGGAATTCCAATACCGAAAAAGAAGCCTTTGACTTCGATTTTGTTACGGCGGCTTGAGGATGAGATATTTCCATATATTGTACTTGAAATCACGATAATGAACAAACGTTATGGCATATTACGCGGCTGGTTCCTCGAATTTCATGACCTTAGGTACTCTTAGGCCCTGTGTCGTCCCACCATGTTCGGCGAGGGGTGCCCAATTCTAGAATTCCCCTCCAAACTCATTCCTTCACAGGCGGTAGAGGGGAACTGAAGAAAACGCGAAAAGACTAAAAAGGAACTCTGAACGTAAACTTTAGAGAGGGGAGAAGAGTATAACGAGCATTCGCAGCGAAGCATCAAGTGCGATGCTATTTCGGATCAGTATCAACGCCGAGCAAGAAATATGAATCAATTGCATCAAATGCAGAGGAACTCTTTCCATTAAGTCTTATGGAGAGATGTTATCTATCATAACCGTCGCTACTGTATGATTTGCTTTACATTCTCTCCTCCTTATTACTTGGTATGCTCACCGCATCGAACAAATAGAGTGGAATTGATTTCTCATTGATGGTCTACCAAGTAGTATCTTTTACTTGGGAACGAGATGCCCAGACCGTCTAATTGGGCCGGCACATGCTGCTTCACCTCGAAGTGATGCGGTAAAAGATTCGTCGGCATAGGGTACGCGGAATCCTGGATAATACGGATTAGTTACATGCGGGTTCGATGCCAGTTCAACTTACAATTTCTGCTTCACTGGCCACCAAGTTTCGTCATCGATTGAACGGTACGAGGTGACTCGGTCCCGCCGACGAATGAACAGAGCTACCTCAAACCCAGGAAGTTGGCCTAATTCGTGGGCTTTCTTAACCAATGTGTCCTTCCTCCCGGAAGCCCCTTTATACGGATTCCTTCTCTTCGCCATGGTGATGCAACACAGGATACACTCTGTGAGGAAATGGGATGCCTCACAACCTTTTATACATGGACTAAGTTGAAAAGATCATCTCTCAGCCCTCTGATACGTGATGGTATCATTGCTTCATTATTAAATTCCAAAGACGTTACCTTCTCGTTACTCGATTGTTGTCAGCTAGTGGTGGTGATACCATCAGAAAATTGACCCCTCTAGAAACAGGGGTAATTTACCACCAACAACCCATGAATTCTACGAATCAGTGGCGAATAACTATTGGCTATCTCAACCCCCAAAAAGAAGATTAAACTTATCAGCAAAAGTATTTTATCATCCATCTACCGGGTGACCCGCCTGATGACCACCATTTAAGGGATCCGCGTTGATATGGCTATAGCGAGGGTGAAAAAAAGGCAAAAATCCAACGCATATATGTCGCATATACCTAACCAAGCCGTATAATTCTATATTTTTACGTTGCTGTCTCTCATTCACGAAGCTCTAGAATTCATGCAAGCTGTCAAAACTGTTAGCACAAGAAGTCTCGGGTCAGATCACCAATCATTTAGATAAACTGGTAGTAGAAGAGTTACTATTCTAAGTCTGTAATTACCGATGCTTATATGCATCTGCAAGCAATAGGCAGCTATAGTGTAGTTGCGACAAATCATAGGTTTGACCTGCGGCTCTATACCGACGTCTTGGGGGGAAACTTAGGAATCTTAGCATTTCGTACACGGACGGATGGAGAAGGTTACAAGTGGTGAAAGAGACTAGTAGTGCCAGCATATGTGATATGACATACCACACAGGTTTCCACATCATCAGATCAGATTGAATGAGGTTTTTGTAGCTGTTCAGCGAAGAATCAAAAGAGTAAAAGGAAGTGGCAAATGGGTCACAATTTTCGAATCGACATTATATATCATCTATCATTCGGATTTTGGACCTTTGAGATCATCCATGTGCTGGCCTGTGACGCCTGAGTCTACTTCCTGCGGATCATCCGAGCTCGGATCGTCGTTCTTGCTTCCAAAGAGCTGTGCACCTCGACAGCATCAGAATATAACGGATATTTCTGACCTACCGTAGGTAAGTTGCCTCGTGCCTACTGCGCCAAAAGTCATACAAGTGTTCAATAGAACGTGCCACAACGATCCATGCAGCGGAAATCCTTCGCTGTCCCTTATTGATTTCTTGAGAGGTTTACGTATTCCCCCTTGAGCTCGTCTGCACGCGCTTGAAGCTTTCTAACCTCAGTGTCTAATCCTTCGCTACAATCATGCCTATTGTTGAGCTCCATATTGTCCTCATCGTTGGCAATTTCACCCCCGTCATTCTCCTCGTCAACATCCTGAACGCTATCTTCGTCTTTGTCTTCGTCATCTCTGAATAAGACCGTGATGCTTTTCAGGCCTCTTAGACGCGAAAGATAGTTCGACTTGTATCTTGCAGGCGTTAACTCCTCCCACTCTGCCTCTTCGACAAGCACGCTCTCAATATCATTGAGCTGCTTGCCATAACAACGCAGCAGATCTCGAAGATAGTCAGGCTCGTCGGTAAAGTCGAAACTGAACCAGAGAACATCGTGGCGAGGATTGAAGTAGAACGAGCCCGCCTTCGCATTTGTATGCTTCATAAGCCGATATTGCTTCAATGTATGCTTGCGTGATTCGTGGCAGACGTAAAGTGACACTGGAGGAGGGCAGGACACTGCCGGCCCTTGCTCGATAATTCTCGTGCCAAAGTTCACATCTAGCAACGTAGATAATGAGCCTGCGAAGCGCAGGATCGCGACATCTTCGTATTCTATGGTCGTTTCATCCTCACAGATTGCGGCTTCAATGAGTCGAGGCTCCGGCCAGGTCTGTTCCCATATCAGAAGGCGAAGCTCGAGTGACAGCTTCAGGAATAGATGGAAGGTATGGCCTGCTTGAAGTTTTTCATCTGAATGATTTTTGGGGGTGACGCCCTATAAGAACTTGTTTCAGTAAGGGCAGCTGGAGATACGCAATTGAACGAACCTTCACGAGTTGTATCGAACGCTGGACCTGATCTGAAGGCAACAACATCGGCGGCGCCCTGCTCGCTCGCTGATTCTATCGTGGCATCTGGTGTCGCAAATTCAGCAATACGCAATGAATTTGCGGTAGCTGTTTGTCCCTCTGGTTCTTGATCGTATGCCTCCATGGTTGCACCTCGCTGGATTGCTGAATTGCGCGGAATGAATCGTTGGGAAAGAAGCCGTGCTGCGGGGTAAGAAAGCTGGGATGTGGTAAAGCGTCTCGGCACTCAAGGTCTGCCATACTTCTACGTCAGCCATCGCCTCGATCTCAAAATAAAGGATTCCACCAAGAATATTCAATTCCTACTTCTATTCGCTATTTTGTATATTCAAATCTTTAGAAGTAATTTCACTATAATAAATATTATCGAACCCTTTGATATATATCGAATTACTAATTCTTTTATACACTTTATAATATATTTATGTATTTATATCTTTTACTTCAATCTTTTTTCTTTTCGTTTTTATTTTTTATTTTTTATTTTTTTAATCTTTTAATTAGTTTTATATACTTATATTTATATTTCTTTTTATTTGTTATATAATCTTTTTTTATATAATATTCATTTTGAAAAAGATTAATCGATAATAAATAATAATTAAAGATTTAATTATATTTAAATTCAATGAGGTAAAATCGACTATAATCAAGAATTGAAATCAAAATAACCAAAAAAAAAATTTATTGTTTTTTCTATTTTGTTTTTTTAAAGGATTCTTTAAAGAAAATCTTTATATTTATAATATTAAATAAGATTCTAATATATTTTATAATCAATAATAAAATCAATTTGAATCGAATCTTATAGAATTATTTTATATAATAAAAAGAAATAACATTCAATAATATTCAATCTGATAAATAAAAATTTTTATACACTTATATTATATTTTATTCTCTTATAAATCAATTTGATATAGATTATAATCAAATTTTTATATGATAATAAATTTTAATTAATAAAATTAAAAAGAAATTTATTTATTTTAATATAATTCTATATACTTTTATATATCATCTTTTTCAAGATTGTTTATATACTTTATAATTATATTATTTATAATAATATATTAATTATATAATTCTCTTTTATATGTAATCTTTTTTTCAAAATTGATTATATAATATATCGATATTAATAATTCTCTTTTTAAAAAAATAGATTATATAATTAATATAATAATTGTTTTATATAATCTTTTTATTTTCAATAAGCTCGGATATATAATCTGATTTTAATTATATAATAAAACTTCAAAGAGTTTACATTTTTAAAGATTTCAAAAAGTTTACAAGAATTTATATTCCTAAAGATTTTCAAAATAAATTAGTATATAATTAAAATAGTTTTATAGTTTAAAAATTTTGTATTTAATTTAATTATCAATTAGTTTATTTATATTCCAATTGATTTAATACCGAATTCATTTTCAAATAAATAATCAATAATTAATAATTTTAATCTACAATTATCAATTATACAAAATCTCAGATAATTATTATCTCGATTAGATCGTTATACTTTAAGTATTATTATAATTAAATTATATATAATATAATAATTTTCAATTAGCAATCTATTGAATCGTTTTTTTTTAATCTAATTGAAGTCTTAGTATAAATTATTATAACAATAAAATATAAATAAACGATTTAGATATTTATCTTTAATAAATAATTTTTCTTGATTCTTATAGAAAGAATTATATTCAATTAGATTAAATTATTTTTCAATAATTTAATAATCAAAATTATCGATAATCAATTAAACAAAAATATAAAATCTAAAACTTATTATTTCTTTCTCAATTATAAATTATTCAAATAAGGATTTGATAAAATATTCAAAAAAATAAATCTTAATTATATAATTGAAAGAATATTATAATAATTTAAATAGATAAAATCAATTATAATTTATATTATTAAATTTCAATAATATATTGAGTATATTATATAAAATTATAATTTTATAAAGAATTAAAAGATATTATTAAAGATGAATTAATAAGAATTTTGAAGTTATTAAATCTTTTCAAATTAATCGAAATCTTTATTATTATTGATAATTGATTTTATAAATAATAAATAAATGAAAAAATTTATTTAAAAAAATAAAAAGTTTCAAAAATCTTATTATTAAAATAGATATTATAATATTAGTAATTTGATAAAATTAAATAATATCGAATAATATTATATAAAATTAAACAACTTAAATATTAATAAGAAAAAAAAGTATAAGAAAAATAATTTATATTATATTTATAAAAAAAGTAGATATATATTTAAAAATTGTTTTCAAAAGAAGAAATTATTTTTTATAAAAAACAAAAAATAAGATTTTCGAAAAGTAAAAATCTTAAAAGGAAGTTTAAGAGAAATAGGATTATTAAAAAGAGATTTATTTTAATTCAATTTTGAATAATTAATAAAATTGAATATTAATATCTGAAATTTTGAAACTAATATTGAAACTAATATTAGTAACAAAAACGAATTTTTAAAAGAATTCGAATTAGAAAATGAAGATTCAATTAAGAAATTCAAAAAAGATTAATAATTAATTGAGTTTCATTATTTATTTTAGGAAAATGAATTATAGTATTTAATTAGTTATTTAGATAAGAAATATATTTAATATTATTATAAAGAAAAAAAACCAGATTTTGTAAAGAAATATAGAATTTATAATTATTTTATTTTATTAATATTTTATATAATAGTATATAATGATATTTATTATATAATTGTAACGATCTGGTTGAAGCAGTGGCTGCCTCAGGTTTCGTATGGTTGGTAGTTGTAGGTTAAGATTAATAATCATTGGTTATCCATTCGAAGATGAATATATTATTAGATTAATTGGAATATAAATAAATTAATTGATAACTAAGTTGAGTATAAAGCTTTTAAATTATGAAATTATTCTGATTATATATTAATCCATTTCGGGAGCCTTTAAAAGTATAGATTTTTGTAGGCTTTTTAGAGCTCTTAGGAGTATAAGTTCTTCGAAGCTTTATTATATAATTAGGATCAGATTATATATCCAAGTTTGCTGAAGGTAGTGTAACGATCTGGTAGAGGCAGCGGCTGCCTCAGGTTTCGTCTGGTTGGTAGTTGTAGGTTAAGGCTAATAATCACTTATCCACTCGAAAGTGAATACATTACTAGATCAATTGGAATATAGGTAAACTAATTGATAACTAAGTTGAGCACGAGGCTCCTAAACTATAAAACTATTCTGACTATATACTAATCTCTTTTCCTATGCTAGCTATGCTAGCTGGGCTAGCATGGCTAGCATTCCTGTGGTGCTAGCTTTGCTAGCTGGGCTAGCAGAGCTAGCACATCACGTGATTGATCCTGAGGCCTCTCATATCCCAAGGCCTTTCCTTTCCTGGAACACTTGTCCCAGGAGCTTTCCCTCTAGGGACCCTAGCCCTAGGATACGATATTCTCTAGGGTGATAGTCCTATTACAATCAATTAGGTAGGACACTTGTCCTATTCTACTATGGTTGCCTAGGATACTTATCCTAGGAATCCTGGGGTCCTAGGCTTAGGTAATCAGGACCCCCGAAAGCAACGGTTAAATCACATCCCCCCTGTAATCGGCATATAAATCACCGACGTCAATAATACTATTATAATGAAAACCATGAATCGTGACAGGTAGGGAGATTATATAAAGCGATTGTTATACAAATTCATATACAAATTGTTTTGTTTTTCAAAAAGGTTCAAATTCATAAGAATAGATTGATTGTTATCTTGTGATATTTTATAAAATGATTTCGTAACAATAATATTCAAAAAAAATATTAAAGTAAAAGATATTAGAAGATATATTGTAAATATAATAAATATAATCTCGAAATAAAAGATATATAAAAAATCTTATTATAAATTGAAAATTGTTATATTTAATAAAGAATCAATAAAGATAATAAAATAATATCAAATCAAGATTATTATTGAAATTTTTAAACAAAACTAATAAATTATTATTTATTATATTTTATTAATTATTAAATATAAACAAATACTAATATAAATAATTAAATCTTTTATCAAAAATAAATCATTAAATTGTTATTATTAGAATTTAATAATATTATAAGAATTGAACAATTAATTATAAAAATCAAATTAAAAATCAAAAATTAATATTTTGATTGATTCTAAAGTTATAAATATATTTATAAATTTTGATTTTGTTAAAGAAAATAAAATTCTTATAAAATCAAAATGAAATCCTTATTAATTAATATTATTAAAAAGAAAGAAAATTAAAATTAATAATTAAATATATAAAAAATCAATATTATTAAAATAATTATATTAGATAAATATATCAAATAAATCAAAATAGATCTAATATTATATTATAAGAAATATAATTTAGATTATATTATAAGAAAATTGGAATTATAAATCAAATATATAAAGGTTTTAATTAATCAATTATATAACTTTTATAATTAAATATAAAAAGAATCTTTTGTTTCTTTTTATAATAATCAATTTTCTATATATATACATTTGAATTTATATAATATTAATTTTAAAATCATTGTAAACCTTGTTTTATTTATAAGTGATATATATTACGATTTACAATTAAAATAAAAATATATTAAAAGACAGTAGTCAATATGTCTATATAAGCTTAGATTTTATCGAAAAACAAAACGATTTGTATACAAATTTATATAATAATCGCTTTATATAATCTTCTTACTTTTAATAAATTTGAATATATAATCTGATTCTAATTATATAATAAGAAGTTTTAAAAGTTTCGAAAGCTTTTTGAAGTTTCTTTATATTTATTAATATATAATCAAAATAATTTTATAATTTAAAAGCTTTGTATTCAATTTAATTATCAATTAGTTTATTTATATTCTAATTGATTTAATAATATATTCATTTTCAAATAGATAATCAATAATTATTAGTCTTAATTTATAATTATTAATTATACAAAAATCTGAAGCAATTGTTATCTCGATTAAATCGTTACACTTTAAGTATTGTTATAATTAAGTTATATATAATACAATAACTTCTAATCAATAATCTATCGAATCATCTTTATTCAATTCAATCAAAGCTTTTATTCAGACTATTGTTATTATAGAATATAAATAAACAATTTAAATATTTACTTTTAATCTATTTTATAAAGATCGTAACAAGTATCGAGTTTTTATTATACAAATTGATCTCTATTATACTTTTAATAAACAATTTTTTTAAA